TGGTAACGAAAGCAGGGCTAGAAGGAATAATAGTCTGGTTCCTTTTGGCACACAAAAAACCATTATCATTCAAGGAACATGAATGAAATTGTGGCTGCATGATAAAGGTTAGTAGCAGGTGTTTTTGGAGATTCAAAGTGATTGATTCTTACTGGTCGGTAGCATCCAGCGCTGTGCCATAGCCTCCTTTGCCACAGTAACAGCCATAACCGTTGTATTCTAGCCCATCCCAGACACCCAGATCCACAAGGCAGAGAATCATATTGCCAAACTGAAGTACACTGGTAGTGTCACGCGATGCTGCGCCGTCTGCGGAGAAAGCAATAATACAGAATACAAACTCTATACCCTTCTAACAACCCGTGAAAGGAATTCTGAGTGAAGATCTCATTTCGGCAATTTTCATGTTGTGCAAGTTTTCATATTGAGAAGGGTAAGTTTATTATTATCGAAACTTGATATTATTCCATCCTTTTATTGTTACTTTGTTGCACTAAATCTCAAGTAATGTTTTATGTTGGCAGATGCAGGTGTAAATCGACTTACAACTCTAAAACTTTGAAAGAGATATGTGGTTCTTAGTGAAACCTGATTAGTGTGTTCTGACTGTCAATAAGCTATAAGTAATTAGTAAAACTAGTTCTAGGTTTAGTGTTAAAGATGTAATCGTCTACGGACGAACCAAAAGTGTGCAGTGAAGGTATATATTAGGTTGCATCGTGAAATTACGAGAAAAAAAGTGAAAACTGTCCCAGAATGTTGTGCAACACATCCAGCAGTGTGGCGACAATCCATAAAAGAGTCTAATAAACTGCAACAAGAATGATGAATAGAGATGTTCAGACTTACTCGCTAGGGCAACTGCCGCCGCCAGTAGGAGAAGGAGCTTCATGGTGATTTTTTATCGGGTGATGTCAGGATATCGACGGGAAAATACTTCGGAGGAGCCGGTATGAACTCGCTGCGTATCACTCGGAGAGCTTGCAAGGAAGTGGTTCGTCTCTTGTTCCACACCAATATTTATACATTTGTCCATTCTTTGTTTTCACCGAAATTTGGAGCAGGATAAATGCACCTTTGTCTCTAAGGTATATTGAAAAACAACTGACGCAACAATCACAATTTGATAAATTTCCAAAAACCGAACGAAACTTATTGATTAACCTATCTCACAGTGGAGAATTCGAAGAGAAAACAATGATGTCCAATCGGTTATTCTTAATTTTAGGTTGGTCATAATAATTGCATTGACCTCAATCTCTCAAACAGAATAAACCAATTTTGATAACGTTCGACGGATCGTTGACAGCTGACCACCGCTGCAGTGTTTTCCCATCACAACAAAAGTTTGGTGTCACAATAACGGACAATGGGGCTTTGTATATGTGGAAATATCGGTTATCGGTTACTGACGGCGCAAGGGACAAAATGAAAGGGCTATTTTGCGTTACTGCGCGATAAAACGAACGGCCGGAGAATACTAAACAATAATGACAACAAGATAAAAAGTTTTCAAACGCTTTTTTATAAATAATTAAATTACTTTTCCTCTTTTTGTTTCCCCTATAGGATTTCAATCCTTAATTATCTTCAATTAAAGCACGTTTTGATAGTCGAGAGTTTTCACAAGATAGCAAAGTTTAAAACGAGCACCGAAGGCGCACTTGTATTGTTGAACCGGCCGTCGATAGAGGGGGTGAATGACCCTTCCTCATAATTGTTGGGAACATTTGCGGCGGTCATTTTGTCTCCCGGTAAAACTGTCCTGGCGACAGAATTTCCTATTTAAAAGTGCCCCGGGACGAAAGCAGGGGAGAATTACCTTCCCTCATATTGTTGGGAAAATTTGCCGGTGAAGACGGTAATTCTTACCCCCGGTAAAACTGTCCGGGAGACAGAATTACCTAGGTATAAAAGTGCCCGGGACCATTATTATTGTGTCCCACCAGGTTTTTTTTGTTCCCCTAGATTTGTTACACCTAAGGCCAGTTCCACATGTTGTTTTGATGAATTCACTCCAAAGGGTATACATTTTGAACTTTTCTGCCCTTCATGAAGATATCCAAATGAAAATATTTAACTTAATACTCTATTTCTTATTAGATGTGAAAACAATCGAGCTAGAGAGTCCCATTCTTCTGTGTCAAAAGCCTTTTCATAGTCTAAGAAGCGAATTGCCATTTTTTTCCCTTTCTTTTGCTATCATTGAGTTACTAAAAATGAAGGACATCATCAATTAATCTAATTCTGTTTCCTATGAATCTTCCTTTGATGTAACCGGACTGATCTTCTTGAATGATGTTTCCTATTACACTTGATAAACGATTTGCTAAAGCTTTGGCAGCTTTTTTATAATCAATGTTTAAAAGACCAATAGGTTACCAGTTTTTTAAATTGGTTCGGTCACCTTTCTTATACAAAAGTAAAATTACAACACGGCGTTGTGACGTAGGGAATTCTCCTTCCTTATAACTTCCATTCATTGAATCTATGAAGAGGAATTTAATTTTCCCAAAACACCTGTTTAAGTCTACAGTTAGATCATCTATACCTGGGCTTTTATTATTTTTCAGAGTTTGTAATGTTTTTGCATATTCTGGTTCAGTGAGTATTGCTTCACATTTATCTTTATGTATTTCATTTAGCACAACATCAAATTCTGTGTCATTTAGGTATTCGTTCATTTGATCAGCATCAACACTATTTGAAGAGTAAAGTTTTTTGTAAAAGGTTTTCTGTTCATGAGTATTTCAATTTGATATGTTATTATGCTGCCGTTTTCACTCTTCAGCTGTGTAATGTGTTTTCTCAAGGCATTGCTATTTTCAAGACCTTAAAAGTATCTACTATTCTTTTCACCTTCCTCAGACCATCTTTCTCTGGATCAAACCCTTTGTCCTTCAATCTCTTTATCATACATGTTTTCTAATGTGCTTTGAAATTTGTTTATCTCAAAAGATTCTTCTTCAAAATCGCTTTTCAAGTTTTGTTTTTCTGGCGTTGATCGATTCTGTGACTATTTTTCCACATTCTTTTTCCTTTTTGAATAGCGGATGGTAAAGTCACTGATTTTTATTTTGCAAAGTTCCCATCGACATTTTTCATCCTCACATTCCGTTATCAACTCTTCCGACAATTTATCTGAGTACGTTTGCATTCTATTTTGGAAAGTGATATCACTGAAGAGTGAGTTTACATAGCTGTCGTGGCTGTTTTTGTGGAGGAGACGGACGAAGTGTCAGTGTTCGTGTCAGACACGAGCATTCCAATAGCAAGGTGTCCGTCTATAGACGGGTAGCCTGTGCGTAAAACAAAGTACAAAATACACTGTCCAGGTGCTAGGCTTACACGGGACAAAACATTACAAGGGGAGCAATTTTTTTCGTAAGGCAGAGGGACAGAATAACATGGAGGGGACAGCATTTCCTAAGTAAATCTGTCTCCGTGACAATACATGGTTGCAGCCTGGTATCTGTCCGTGGGGGTGGGGCAGATTCACCGGGGGGGGGGGGGGAGCAGCATTACTTTTACACCCCCAGGAGGCTGTGTTCAAGAACAAAGCCGCTGCACTATACACGGCATGCATCGATCTTTCCCCTCTGGAACCGGACCAACTACATATTAATACAGTGAGTGAAAACGGCCATTTAACAAATGAAGCTTTTCCTAATGAAGTCTGAATATGCTGACATGGGCAAAACCGACCAACAGGTAGCATGTGAGTAGTCATTGAGGAAATTCTTGTCACGTGGGGGCTCAAAATGACGGCATTCGACAACCTGTAAAGACGCGGCATTTGAATTCATCGAGGGCGGAGATTCAAAGGTGTGGCAAGAAGGTGGGTGGGTGGTAGGGGGCTCCTTGGAGGGTAACAAAGGCCGTGATGCCAAATGTGTCCATGTTGTCAACAAATAAGACCATATTGGAGAGCGCCCCTTAGTGACAGACAAAGCCTTTTCCTGTGATCGTCGGGTGCAACTGTGGCATTCACAAAGGAACCGACAGAGCTAAATTGGTATTGGCAGAAAGGCTCGTAGTCGATGCTTCATCACGAACTAATATGAAAACCAAAAACCGGTCCAGACAAACCATGGTTGAAATGAATGAATATCAAGATTTGGCCGAGATTCAAATGCAAGGAAGTGCCAAACAAAAATCCCTAAATGCATGCACGCTTGCGACACAATAAAACAAAACTCGCAATATTATTATGTGGTTACTATGTCTACTTTTTTATTTTCCTCAACATTGTGATACGATTTAAAGTCGATCTGTATTTGATGGGTATTAAATGTACCCTCATTTTTCAAGAAATAGATGAAGTTTATTGACCAAAAAGCGCATGAGCATCTTTCTTAAAGGGCCACTTTTAGTGCTCACTTTTTATTTTTTGAGGTTACATTCTCAGTGAAATGCTGGGGTAGGGATCGTAGTTATCCTTACTCTTCGTTGCGATTACAAACAAAATGGCAGCCTGTTCAATGTCAAAACAAGCCTCAGAATTCCCTGACAATCTATATGCTAAACAGATTTACTACGCCTGGTCGTATTTTGTTTTCCATCTGAGATATTTGTTTTATTACAAACATTGTTAATCATGCTTTATGAATCATGCAAATTAATATTGATCCTATAGGCCGAAATCGAAATCGTTTAAAGGGTCCGTGTATTGATATTTGTATTAAATTCAATCCTTGAAATGTCCCTTTGTGTTCCATTGAACTTTATTTGCAATCTTCATATTGCCATTTTAAGGGCGTTTTGGTGCCTTCTTTTGTTTCGAAATTGCGGCCATGTTCATGAACAAAACTGTGATGTCATTCAAAGTAGAAACGTAGGTTTTACATCTGCATCAGCATCAAAGAGTCTCCTGAATTTCTGAGTTTGCTGTGGTTATGTTTCTGCTCTCAGTGGTTCATTAGGCCAAAAAAAAGGTCTCTGGTTTCTGGTATAGAGCTTGCCCAAAAAGTGGTGCGGCGACGCGGCTTTTTTTTTTTTAACCTGTTTTTTGTTTTGCTTCAAATGTCGGCTGATGACTGCAAATTGTGCCCGACTAAACTTAGTGCAAATTTATGGGAGATTCCAGAGAGGCCACAGAAAGAACCGAGGAGGTTGCCAACACACTACCAATAATAAATTATTGCTGAGGAATTAATCCCTTAAAAGGGTATCACTGGATTTGAACTCGCTCTGTTTTTGGACCAACCTCAGGAGTAGGCCTACATACTCAACATTTAACAGCTGCTCTTGTCATAGTTGACATAGTCGCGGTTAAACGAGCCCCGCTTGTCTGCGAAGCATTGCGCCCCCTTGCGATCACATTCACACATGAAGGCTTTGCATTGGGAATTGATGGAGAAAAACCCGTAGTCGGCCTCTGCCTCTGCACACAAAAAAGGGGGAAAAGAGAGAAAGGAAAGACTTTAAAACGATGGTCTTTAGTTGATTCACCCTCCTCAAGGATAGTCTACCCAAGTCACGTAATCATCTTTAGTAAATGATTGAAAACAATCCTAAACACGGGTGTTCACTTATTGAAAAGATAGAAGATGAAATAAAATCACAAACGAAGTGAAACAAAACACATTAACTTGCAATGTGTGCAGGCTTTTGGGAAGGTATTGCTTTTCATGTATTCTGTTCGTTTCAAATAATACCACCCCTCAAAATCCACAGAAGATGTTCCCAGCTTAACCCGCTGAAGTTTCAGCTTAGTGGATATTACAACTTGTGAGAAAACAATGAAGAATCACGCGCAACCTTTTGATCACATATTGCATGATTTTCGTCAATGGTTTCCACTCTGTCAATTGACTGATTGCTGGACATCACCAACACTTTTAGTTTTTATTACAAACGACAGAAAGCCAGCCGACTTTTATGGGATGCTTAGTACTAGTTCGATTTTCAATCAAAACTAAACTAATTTGCTGATAATAATTCGGTAGATATACTTTTGGGATAAATGATCATACATGCCTTTAGTTTCCATGTCGACGTAAGAAACGTAAAGTTAAACGCATACAGGACCCAAACTACAAGGCAGACATTATGGAAACATTTCATCCGGAAGTGTCGCCGACAACTCAGACAGACGCAAACTACCTCGCAGACGATCGACAAAGTTGAGTCTGCCGGCAAGCTTGAGTTCAAATTTGCCGACAGTTCCGTGTACTGTCCGTGCAGTCTGCGTAGTCTGCGTAAGCTTAATGTCGATATGGAAACCAGGCTTAACCCTAACTCCTGGGGCTCTTTTACTAGTTAAAGTATAGATGTATAACTCGTGCATAGTACGCCCTTTACAAAGATAATGTCTTTAAAAAGTTCTTACTGCATTTGATGGCACAGTTGCCATTAGCGTCAGTGGTTTTTTCGTAGTCGTAGTCGATTAAGTAGGTATCCAAGGTATTGCATCCGCCCTCCGTTGGAGCTCTACCGTAGCAGTTATCGTGTTCTACACAGCATCTACAATCCAAAATAAATATAATTTTTGTTTCACATGACTTGTTTCTGAGCTTCGAGCTGATTCTCTGGTATGTATATTACGGTACCAGAAACGTGTCTTCAGTGTTGGATCTTTGACTTAATTCAGGATAAGCGTTGTGAAAGGGTATCTTTCGTAAATACATTTATTGCTTCTGCGCATGCTCGTTGATAAGATTGAATTTATTAGCGAGCTGCTCTGGAATATTACAGTTTAGTTTTAGAAACATGAATTGAAAACCATTTCGTTTGCTGGGATCGAGAAGTTTAACTTTGAAGCTAATAGACCATGTTACGGCCATCGTGACCTTTTCCCATTCAAATCAACGTAATGAAAGCGAGGCTGGAACGAATTATAGCAAGTCTGGTACATTTTGCACAAAACCATTATCATTCTGTACCGATATTGGAAGCAGGGAACGTGACTGAAATGGTGGCAGCAAAAGGTCAATTTATAGATGGTGCTTTTGGAGATTCGAAGCAATTGATTCTTACTGGTCGGTAGCATCCAGCGCTTTGCCTGAGCCTCCGTAGCCACAGTAACAGCCATAACCGTTGTAGTCCAGCCCAGACCAGAGACCCAGATCCACCAGGCAGAGAATCATATTGCCAAACTGCAGCACACTGGTAGTTTCACGATCTGCTGCGCCATCTGCGGGGAAAGCAATATACAGAATACAAACTCTTTACTCTTACAAACTCTGACAACCCGTGAAAGGAATTCGGAAGGAAGATCTAATTTCGACAGTTTTTCATGTTGTGGAATTTTTCATATTGCAAAGTGTTAGAGCTGTAAGTTTATTACATGTATTGTATTATTACATGTATTTAAACATGATAGCATTCCATCCTTTTTGTTACTTTGTTTTTACTATCGCAATTACATGCTGCTAAATCACAAGTAAAGCAGATGCAGGTAGGTGGAAAGCGACTACAGCTCTGAAACTCTAAAAGAGATTATGTGGTTCTTATTAAAAGCGGATTAGTGTGCTCTGACTGTAAGCTGTATGAAGTTAGTAAAACTAATTGTAGGTTTAGTTGCCAGAGATGAAATTACGAGAAAAAGAGTGAAAACTGTCCAAGAATGTTGTACAACACATCTAGCAGTGTGGCGACAATCCATAAAAGAGTCTAATAAACTGCAACAAGAATGATGAATAAATTGTTCAGACTTACTCGCTAGGGCAACTGCCGCCGCCAGTAGAAGAAGGAGCTTCATGGTGATGGTTTATCGGGTGATGTCAGGATATCGACGGGGAAATACTTCGGAGGAGCCGGTCTGAATTCGCTGCGTATCACTCGGAGAGCTTCTAAGTCAGTGGTTCGTCTCTCGTTCCAGACTAATATTTATACGTTTGTCCATTCTTTGTTTTCACCAGAATTTGGAGCAGGATAAATGCACCTTTGTCTCAAAAGTCTATTGAAAGTCCCAAGATGATAAATTTTCTAACGAAACAAAAATGAAACAAAAATACCAATTTCTGTTCTAGTTATCTTATCGTTTAGCATTGATTGACTTATCTAACAGTGACGAATTCGAAGAAAAAACAATGATGTCCAATCGGATATTCTTAGTTTTAGGTTGGTCATAACAATTGTTTTGATCTCAATCTCTTAAACTGAATTAAACAATTTTGATAACGCCCAACCGATCGTTGACAGCTGACCACCGCTCCAATGTTTTCCCATCACAACAAACGTTTGGTGTCACAATAACTGACAATGAAGCTTTGTACATTATGGAAATGTCGGTTATCGGTTACTGACGACGAAAGAAAAAGAAAATGAAAGGGCTATTTTGCGTTACTGTGCGATAAAACGAACGGTCGGAGAATATAAAACAATAAAGACAACAAGATAAAAAGTTATTTTATAAATAATTTTATTATATTTCTTTTTCTCTAGAATCTTAATCCTGATGATAAAATGTGTTCAATTTAAAGTACGCTTTGATAATTTATAGAGTGGAGAGTTTTTAAAAGATAATAAAGTTTAAAACGGGCATGGAGGGCGCACTTGAACCGGCTGTCGATAGAGGGAATGAATGACCCTCCCTTATAGTGAAATTCTTTCTGACAGCTTTTCATATTTACTCTCAACTCAAAAATGGTATAAAAAAGCGCTACCTTTAGTCCCATGCCCCCTTCCGGCTCCGGGATCAAGTGCAATATTACTCTCTCACAAAACAGGAATTAAAACATCGTAAAGTTGACGGAGTCTTCTTGGGCATATTGTCAACTTTTCGTAAAATATCATTTAGATGTAGCTCGAGGTTTACTATGCTGTGGTTTGATAAAATACTGTCAGCTATATGTAGTGTGGGCAAGGTATTCATACTAAAATTGTTATTCTAAACACATGACTGATTAATTACGTCATCTGCGGTAAGAAAATGTCAATGGTTGCTTTATTTGACCCGTGCGATTCAACTTTGACCTGGCCCTTGATAAAGCCGCTGGCGCTGCTCGCTCGAGTGGGGGCGCTCTTCGCGTGATAGCTCAACGACCATTGGTCAGATTGACGCTCATGCATATTCAAAAGATCGTGGTCACCTTCGTCCTCGGAGAGAACGCTGACGGGGCTGTTGGCCGGAGGTCTCATCGGGTGGCTGATGCTGATGTACTCAGCGAAGGGAATCTTGTAATGATGGGGTTCCAGATCGAAGTATTGTACCGGGTCATCATATAAGTCCCTCCCAGCCATTCTAGCTATCCCCCGGCTACCATTACCGTCCGGACTCGGTGCCACAACCGGCTCCGCGTACCTAACTCTTCGCGTTGAGCGAGTTCGTTTCCCAGATTGTGCCCCTTTGCAACGGGGACACTGCCTGCCCTGCTCCCCATGTGAGGAGTCTGGGTGCAAGAGCGGAGCACCTGCGTTACGCGGCGTGTACCTTTCCCCACCGGAGCCAGACCAACTGCTCTGTTCACTGCACGACTCTGACGAACTGGTCTGATAAACGTCTCCCGTAAATTCGCCAGTTTCATCTCCGAAACTCTCAAGCGACAGGATGTTAACTCGCATCCGGTTCTCATGCTCTGATGGTCTAGACGGTCTTCGAGCCATTTGCTCAGCCACTTTCCTGTCGTGGTCCTTGGAAGTCCGACCCTGCGTGGAAATCTCGTGAGATTTGACATCTTCCAATCCATACTTGTTGTACTGCGAGTACAGTGCTTGAAGTCTGAGCTTGTGATCCTTGTTCTTGTGCTTGTTTGACACAAGCGGTGGCTCACAAGGAATCTCATGCGTAAAGAGCGGAGCTTTCAACTTGGTTTTAGGTGACTGTCCATGTACAGAATCAGTTTGAACAGCATTGTAATCATCACTGTCTCTTTCCTGAGTGTTGGTAAATTTCTGACATTCTTCACTTGTCGGAGTTGTGTCTTGAGTAGTTCCTGTCTGGACGGGGGACTTGCTCTTCAACATTCGCATGATCTCTGTCATGTTGAGCTTGTCCAAGTCCGGTTCACCATCTCTCTCCCTTCTCCTGCTGTCTTGCAAGTCTCGGTGGTGCTTCAAATCCAGCTCGCCCGGAGTCGGCCTAGACAGGGACCTCATGAACCCTGTCCTGAGGTCAACTTTTGATTTGCTAAGGAAACTGAAAGAGGAACGCGATTTGGTAGACGTGTCCCGAGACATCAAGGAAGATTTACTCTTCAGAACGTTGCATGGTGGAAGAGGGCGCCCCAATGTCGAGGGGGCGTTTTGCTTGAAACTCCCGTTTCGTAACTCTCGGAATGTAGGGTCCGCGGATAGAAACCTACTGTCCTGGTTTTCTGAGACCGCTACCGTTCCATGCGTGGTGTCAGCGGTGGGCAAACTTCGCCGCGTCACGGCCAACACGGGCCGGTAGCCAGGGCTGAGTTGCAGGGAGTTGTCCGAGTGTCGCCGGGTATGAAGCGAAGGCGTTGACGGTGTCTGGGTTGGTCCGTGGGTCTGTGGTCTCGGGCAGGGCCAGGAGTTGCTGGCAGACAGTCCCGTGACGTAGATGGCGGCGTCTTGGGGGTTCTTTATGGTGAAGCAGGCAGCCATTTTGACATCTTGGAGCTGGAGAGAAAGCATGCAAACAAACAACGATTAAAGACAGTCACTGTTGAAATGCCTAACCTCTGTATGCGTTTACACCCTATTTGACAATACAAATCAGGAAAGAGGAGTCCTTACAAAAAAATGATGTATGACATTCGAGAGTTAAAACAAGGCCATCCGAAGGGTTAGTTTAGCTAATGAAGACTGTTGCCTTCGGCTTACATCAGGCAAAAACAATATTTAGTCGTCATTCAAGGTCCGTGACCTCCTTAAGAACACTATTTTCATGAAACAATCGTCCACATAATACGAGGATGAAAATAAAGGTGTAAACAAATGTTCCACGATTTTAGATACAATAGTCTCTCCCACAACTTTTCTGTGGAATCGCCCAGTCAAAGATTTTCTTCAATAAGCAACGATCCAAAATGTCCTATTGGCGAATTTGCTGATTGAGCATGTAGTCTGTTGTTGTTGGGCTGTCGTGAATGACTTGTTTTATGTTGGAGAATAAAAAGAAATCCACAGGATTTACACAGACTAACACAAGCGCATCCTCACCATTAATGGCAAGTGGTCTCTATATTGGCAGGATACACAGAAATACCGGGCAAATGAGACAAGATAAATCTGCAGTATCCGCTCGTTTTGCCGATGTCTTTGCTTTTCCAATTATCGATGAATAATGACTATAGGCATAATGTTGGTGTCCATACATCGAGTCGGCTGTTTCCCATCGAGTTGGACTGACACGTTACTTTGGCAACCAAAATGGGGTTCACCATTACAATGACTTCGTACATATACTTGACATATATTTTAATGAATAGTATCTTGACATTGCCATCAGACCTGTGTTAAATTCGGTTATTACATTATATTCTTGATTTTATTCTTGCCAGTATTAAGTCTGTTTCATTCCTGCAATTATTTTGAAGGGGAAAAAGGAAATAGGATAACTCGATCGTAAGTAGTCTGAATGACGTCATTCCGTTGCTATGACAACATCCCCCCATAAAAGATGGGATAACGACAAAGAAGCGTCTTAATGATAATGGCGTATCTTTGACAGCCCTTAACTCGGCAAACATTGTAAATCAGATTTGTTGGCATGCAATCGCCCGCATGCACGCAGTGTATTTGAACATCAAAGGTTATCCTGTACTCGGGTTGATGTGGGTATCTATCGTTAATTGAGAGAGGAGGTGGGCGGAGTTGGAAATGGCAGGAGGAGGTTAACACACACAATTAGCAAGTGAAACCTCATGTGAGATCTACCCCTGTGTTCCTTAAATTCCGTCTACAAGGTCTGAACGGATGAGACGGAAGTTCCGAGAGTATAACAAAATTATCAACTATAGTGAAGGTTTGCGGTAACACCATGTGAAGATCTCTTTTGGAAAGATGTATGGTTCTGAAAAGAACCGATTGTTGTAAAACTCGACGTTCCGATCAGTATGCTCTGATCGTCTTCGGAACATCGAGTTTTACAACCAACCGGTTCCTTTAAGAACCACACATCTTCCCAAAACAGATTGCCACTCGGTGTTACCGCAAATCTATACTACCACCATGCAACGTTTGAAATCTCATTTATAAAATTATTTACAGAAGACACATAAACTTAAATATTTAGCCAAACAAAATGTGTTAAGACTTTTTAAAACAGAAAAGACGCAAGCATTAAGGTTGTGAAAAAAATACGTTCTTAGCCAGATTTACAAAAAAAAGAGTGTTATGATCAATGCTCGATGTTGTTGAGCAGTCGAAAATGTAGATTTGTTGGAACGATTTTGGAGAAAAAAAATGCTAGAATGACAAACTTTGAAATCAACGGATTCGAAAAACAGGCAGAAAGTTCAAACCTTTATACTATGTAATGCAAACCGTGCGTGACTGTTACCAAGCACACAAACACAAAATCACTTACAAGGCTTTTTCTAAGAGTTGAGGGGTTATTTTACGAGTTCCAAAATCGACACAAATGTTCATAACAGGTAAGCTTGTAACCGAGTAACTAGCAACAAGCTGGGCCGGTATCGAGTGACAGTTGTTTTGGTTCACACGAGGACAACATCAAGGCTATCTGGTGCGCGTCCACCTTCTGTGGGATATCGGGGGTTTAGCTGAGTAATGAGAACTTTAATGTCTCATTACTTCAGTCGGAGACCAAGTAAATTTACACGAATTCATCTATTAGACGCAGTCTTGCAGTGCTTTGATGGGAGGTGCACCTTATGCAATAGCTGATCGACTTTGTTTTATACGATTAATGTTTATTGTCTTGTTAATTATTACTAGGCAAGATGTGAGTAAATTAATAGATGTAAAAATTAAAGGAGGGTTTTGTATCCGGCTCTCGAGATGCAGTTTTGTACATAAAAATACCGTAATCAACTTAGGCTGAATAACGTCAAGTTTACTAAGCATTCAAGGTCAGCTGTGGGCGAATGAAAAAAGTGTCAAACCAACTTTATTTTTATTTGGAGTAATTTATTGGAAATTCATGGTAAAAATATATCATTCAAACGCTACAACGATTGGCGTTTATTTCTTGATCAAGTGCGTTCTTTTAGAAACACCAGTCAGTTTCTTTTAAATTATTTGTTTTGAGAGTTTGAGATTCTATTCGAAAAAAAAAATAAAGCGATTAAAAAAACTTGAAAAAATAAATTATTTCTTTTTTTATTTCAGGTAGCGCATGGCAGCCCTGTTCCGCGATACCACTCACTACGTTGCTCCCTTCTCGACTTCCAACGAAATAAATCTAACGATTCCTATGTGAGTTTTTTTATCAAATTAATGTCTGCCCCTTCTGAAACATGGTTATGTTTCAGTTCCTTTACAGGGTTAAAAGCTGTGCGATTCTCGTGTTCGAAACGAACACACGTTTACCTGTGTCCGGTAGGCTATGGCGCTGACTGGAAGCCGCCGGGGTCTTTCCACCGAATCTGGCAACATTTCGGTTACCGACTGTTCGTCATTACCGTCACAAGTTGAGAGTTGCAGTCAACTTTGGATTTTACTCTGCTGTTAGCATCTTCAAAATCGTACAGATGGTTTAGTTCACCATATTTCATCCATCGTTGTCTAAATACAGACGTTTACACAGCAGAAACATCGTGTGTGTATTCCTGACATTTATTATTAACGATCGTGTACGGAGGGAGGTGCACAGCCCACCCGTCTCCCTCATCAAGTTTTAAAGACTGCAATTGTCCGTCCTTTCAGAGTTAAATATCTCCGTGTA